AAAAAAATACCAAAGGAAGGCGAGCAAATGGTTTGGGATCTGACAGTCCACTTCACATCCCTCTCAAAATCACTTAAGAAGTACCTAAACAGTGGGAGATTAAGTTTGGTAAGTTTTAAGCTCCAACTTTACTTGCTACGAACAGAAAGAGCCTGAGCCGTGTTGTAGAGATGTCAGTGGCGTTTTGCCAGCTCGAGCGACTTTAAACCGAAGTATCTCGCGCCTTGGTAGATTCCCTGGGTAGCGAAATGGCAACATTTGCCATCTTTGATGATGTTAAATTGTCTGCAGCCGAAGTGCCTCGTTGTAGTGTCAGGAGTTAGAGAGCTGCGAGCGCTTATTTACGTGTTAAGCCAGAGCCTAAAGAGGTAAAAGCACAATAAAGCGAGGACGAGAAGCAGCGCAGAGCTGAGCTTAGCCCAGAACTGTGGGATTTCCAGGCGCGTTCTGTGTCTCTAACCGATCTCTCCCCGCCGCGATTCTCTCGAGCGCAGTTTTACGTGTCCGTGGCTGTGTCTGTGGTACCTCTGCCTTTGGAAACGCGCCTGTTTTGTGCCTGACAGTCCCTCGGAACGCGCGGGAATCTGCCGGGGAAGGGTTTTGAGCCGCGTTGGTGCGACCTGAAGGACTCGCGAGCGGTTCTCGTGGCGCGGTGCGGGGTGTTGGGGTGGGTGGGGGGGATGCCTGGGTTGGTTCGGGGTGAGGCGGCGTTCGGGGCAGCGCGAAGCCTCGTGTTTTGTTCCCGCGCGCGGTGCCAGAAAGGTGGGTTTTGCTGCGGGTATTCGGGGGTTTCGGAGCTGCCAGGGATGCCCAGGAGAGGCTGCAGCTCTGCCGAGGGCTCCCAGCCCCGTGCCAGGCGTCTCCCCGGCTTTGGTCTCCGGGGTTGGGGACAAAGTGCGAGCGGGAGCCTTTGTGAGTAGGAGAAACGTTTATTTGACTTCGAGTAAAGCTACAAACAAATACAAAAAGCTTATTGGCAAAGTACTAACAGGCAGCTAGACATGACAGATGCCATTTTTACACATAACATTGCATTCACTCTGCCCACTACAACCCGGCTATTACTCACATCGGAAATATTTCTAGTATTTACAAACATTAGAGCACTCCATTGTTGGTCCGATTTTATACATTTTTTTTTTCTCCTTTTAATAGTGAAGTTTAGCCACGTCTAAGAGTACGTCTCGGAATTAGCCTGGGATTAGAAATCCTGGCCTGAAGTTTGGACTAAAACACAGACTGGACAATTTTAAGACAGAAAGATACAAGAGTTGCTTCTTTTTTTTTTTTTTTTCTTTTTTTCCCCCCCATTTTTTACATTTTTGTTTGGTTTTTTTAAACTATTTTTTTTTTTTCTTTTTTTCCCCCCCATTTT